AAAATTCATATGACTTTTTGCACTTGTTTATAAAAGCCACTTCCTGCGAGATTTTCTGTTATTTCGAATACATGCAAAAAGAAATAATTTTAAATCCTTTAGCGTAGGCATTCATTAAACATGCTGTTTAAAAAAAAAAAAAATTGGATAGTAACTAGATTCTCTGTATAATGCGTCGTAAAGAGGGAAGAACTCTTTATTTAAGCATTCAAAAATTTTGATTGATAAAATTGATTTTCAAACAAAAGTTACCTGGATTAGGTCCTTATTAAATCAACTCTATAAAATTGGTAGAAAATATATCTAAAAAAAAAATCGATAATAATTGATACAGAACTAATTAATACAGAAGAGAGAGAGAGAGCGCGCGCGCTATAAATTTAATTTATAATACATATAATTTTTTAATATTTTGTAATAAATATTATTCAATAAACATCATCCTGTATAATATGTAATTTATAAAATATGACAAATTTGTCAAAAATTCCATTATTAAAAATACTTTTTTTATATAGATATATAATAAGATTAATTATAATCAATATAATAATATCGTTATTGTATTCTCTCTAATATATTAACAATTATTTTGTTCATCTTATACTTTCCATATTACTATTAATACTCTTCAAAGTATAAGTTTTCAAACATACAATATTATTTAAAAATTAAGTTAACTTTATTACATTTCACTAAATTGCCGAAATTAATTTGTAATTATGTTCAATTGTACAATAAGCATAAAATAAGTAAAAATTATACTAAAAATTATAAAAGATATAAAGAGCTAACAATATTAAATTATGAAATTATGATACAAAAATAAATTGTACGTTAAAATTATCTATAACGTATGTATTGTATACAATATGGAAAACAAAATTAATCGTTATTTGTAATTATTATTAACGGATCTAGTAATTTAAATATTATTTGATCTACGTAAATATTGTGTACTTTCTGTTTTGTATGCATACAAGGGTTAATATATTACTGATTGTACTGAAACAATTACATATATACAATGATATATCCTAAGAATGACAAATGTTTAAAGAATTTATTATTAACCTCAAAATTAACGAATAATCCCTGAGATATATCTTCTTACTTCATATCTTAATTCATTGTTGTATATTATTATGACATCTTCAAAAGTTATATTGATTCATAAGAATATTATACATTTTGATTTTAAATTATTATACGTTTAATTATTGCTGAAGAAGAATTTGTAGTCTTGAAACATTTATTCTTGTTTTTTGATGTAACAAATGTGTTAAAATTTATTTATAATTTCCTTCAATGAACTCGATCATTGAACATTTTTTTATAGTGTTTATGGATATTACAGAGTTTATGTGTAATATTCTATTTTATATGTATATATACACACACATAATTTATAAGTCATGTAATGTAACAATAATTTGGCGAATTCTTTTTCTAATCCATCTCCATATTAAAAAGTGCCGATCGAAGAACGCCATGGTTACTTCGCTACTAACAAATAGTTTCTTCAGCTTTGTCTCTCTGCTATACGCAGCACATTTGCAGTTCTTAATTGAAACTCATCGAGTCTAGATAACACATGAATCAATTTACACACCTGTTACGAATAAATTGATTTGAAGATTACATTTAAAATAAATCTTTCGCAATCTATATTAATTCTGAAATATATTGATAAATAACATTTGACTGTAAACTATAATAGATTGTTATTTTCCCAAGAATTTGTGCTAATCGTGTTCAATTCGACAATTCAAAGATATATCAAGGAAACATAATGTGGAACCGATGTTGGCTGTTCCATGCCAAGGACTTTCAATCTTTAATGTATCCCTGTTTTACTTTTTGCCGCATTCTCGGAATATTTCCATACAAGATCAATGCTTCAACTTTTGAGATTTCAAAACGGTACTTCCTTCTGTTGACTATGATTATATGCACTTGCGGCATTTGCGATCTACTAATCATTCACGATTATATTTCTAAATCTAAATTAGACATAATTAAAATTCTTGAAACTGTCTGTTATTATGCGTGCAATGGTTTTGTAATGATTATCACACACATCTTAAGCGGTCCGCGAATGCGCCTATTACGGACTATTTTGAAAATATCTTCGACATTACCCCCAGAATGTTATCAAAGGTTATCCAAATTAATTCATATCAAGGACATTTTTGGTACAATATTGTTAGTCTTGCAAATGAGCATTTATTTTTTTGAAAATCACATGTTTAAATTAAATTATAAGGATATCCTCATCATGGTGTTCACTGTATATTTAACTCTGGTGGAGTTCGAGATAAATATGTTATACGTGAATTGTGTATGTGTATTAAAATCATGTTTCAAGAGACTCAACGAAAATATGACACATTTGCAAAAACTCATAGTAAAACCGTGTGTATCCAGACTGACATGTTATATACAGAGAAATCAATTTTTGTTAATACAACTAAAAATTCTGCAAAAGCAGCATCTAATGATTAGCGATACAGTACAAATGTTGAATCTAATCTTTAGTCTGCAACTTCATGCTACTGTAGTCATGACATTTTCTGATATCATTTTTGAAGTTTATAAATACGTAGTACATTGGCAAGATGGGTTACACATCACTTTTAATATATATTATCTTGATGTGTTTTCAATATCGGTAATGTTTTATATTCTAAAAATAATGCTAATTATATGGGCCTGTGAGACTGGTAAGAATCAGGCTCAAGAGATCAGCACTATCATTCATGATGTACTGAATAGCACTAGCAACGAGCAAATTAAGAACGAGGTATAATAAGAAATTATATTTAATTATCTATGCATATATGTATTTTTTGCTAAATATCAAATGTACTTAAAATAACATTTAAAAATATTATATTTACTAAAACATAATTATGTTCTTTAATTCTACGTTTTTCTTCTAGTATTTAATTACACTAAAATCTAATATTACAGTTGCGGCTGTTTTCTTTACAAGTATTACATTGTAAAAATACCTTTTCGATAAAAGGTCTCACTATAGATGCGACGCTTCTCGTAACAGTATGTAATCGATTATTTACTTCAATTAAAAGACGTATATCATTCACATATATTTTAAATTATTGATTGCAGTTTGTGAATAACATCATGACGTACCTGTTAATTATAATACAATTTTTGATCATATCACATTCTTGCGATCGAAACAATACTACAAATAATTATATAAAATAAAGTATAATAACAAAAAATAGTTTTTTTGTACTTATGTGTGTATACATACTTTATAATCACTCGTATATAAATATATGTGAGTATAAATCCATGTAAAAATAAAACCTTTTATTGTATATTAATACTTGTAAATTGAAGATAAATCGTTACTGATCACTATTTGCAGAAATATAAAAAGAAATTATCCTGCATCAACACACACACACACACACACACACACACACACACACACACACACACACACACACACACACACACGCGCATACACATGTAATCTATAAATTATGATAAACTTATTAAGAATTTTGTTATGTCGATCAATTTTAGTCTGGAGATATAATTCTAAATAATGTATAATGGCATTAATATTGCATTTTCATCAATTTATTCATAGTTTATTTATCTTCTTTTCATATCAATGTCTTTTAGAGCACATATAATACAACTTAATTGTTTTTAAACACATAGTATTATAAGAAAATAAATTAAGTTTCATGTTATATTCTAATAAATTGGAGAAAATAATTCGTACGTATATTTAATTGTATAATACTTGTAAAATAAGTAACGATATTGATCAAAAGTATCAATTAACATTGTTACATTATATTATGTGATAATAAGATAACACAAATTTATGTTAAAATTTATGTTATCTTATTATTCTTTTTCTTATTTCAATAGTGTAACTTCGAAACCGTTCAGAATCAGAATAAGTTTATTAGAAATTTTCAACTTGTTTTCATGTTCCAAAGTAGCACAACTTAATACTATGCAGAATCCCGTATATACTCGTAAATATTATATAAAAAGTGGAAAATAAAATGAATTATTATAATCATTATTAACGGTTGTAATAATTCAAAAGTTATTCGATCTATGTGCATTCGTTTTCTGCAAAAGTTGAATATATTATAACTACATAATCATTGCAGGAATAATAAATGGTGACAGAAAAATGGTATCATTATTTATTTCAAAACTAAATCATCCCTGAGATATGTTATTCCATAGGTACAGAAATTCTTCGCTGTTTTAAAAGAAGAATTGTAATAAATGCCATTTTTGGCATTCCCCATAAATTCAAACAAAATTAAGGGGAAAATATACCTCCATATCGGTCTCAATTGTCAACTCCCCTATAAATCGTTCAAATTCCAAATATTGTGATTCATAAAAAACGAAGTTTAGAATAATATTCTTCTAAGGAATTACGAAACTAATATAAATTTGGATGCAGTGAATGGTCCCTTTATTGCAATCCCTTCTTTAAGATTACTAAATCAACAACAAAAAACATTAGAATCTATTATCATTTCTAATGCTGCTTGAATGTAGTAAAAATCATTTCATTGTAATAACAGAAAGATAATAAGCGAATAAAGAACAATAGCAAGATAATATAACATAATATTAGAAAAATGTCTATTACGGTCGAAGCTAGACCTTCATTGCTTTAAATAATTCAATCTTGAATTACTAATATACACTATATATATGTACTTACATATGTACCATATTGTAGTCTTTTAAAACTGCGCCGAATTATTTTTCTGGACTATAACCACAATTAAAACTACTCTAGTAATCGCGAATTAAAGCAATTTGATAATTTGATACCATCAAGAAAAATAATTCGGCGCGCAGTTCTAAAAGACAATATGGTATACATGCAACATATATAGTACATATATGTAACATATATAGTATATATTAATAAAAATGCCTATTACGGTCGAAATTGAATCTTCATTGTTTTAAATAATTCAAGTAATAGACATTTTTAGACCGTAATAGGCATTTTTCTAGTATTATGTTATATTATCTTGTTCTAATATTGATTGTGTTTCTCACATATGCAGTCCAAAATAAAGATCCTTATATTATTAATATAACTTAAGTTGAAAAAGTTTGCAGACAATTTTAACAATTTATCATGATAAAAATTCATAATTTATACTATATGGTTGATTATTACATTGATGTTAATTGTGATTATTATGCCTTGACACTATTTGACTCGAAATTAGAAGTTGCAATGTTTTTTTGATCAATAAACTGAAAAAGGTATTCTTATCCTGATACGCGTTCATTCATTTAATAAATTCGAATTAATTTTTTGTATTCAGAGCAAGAGAAAAAGAGAGAAAATAAGAAATCAAAAAGTTATTAATAAAAGTTTTAGAATTACTATTCATACAAATGTATAATGTACACTATTCTATTTTGTACATAATTCATGAATCACAGTTTCAAGTAACATTTTTTCATATAAATATAACTTCTAGAAATCAATGTTTTAAACGGTCTAGCTGGATCTTAAGTGCTAAGATTTTGTATGAATTTATATCCTACATATGTAGTCTTTTGAACCGCGCGCTGAAATGATTTTTCGGTCTTAAAACGAAAACTTTATTAAACAACAGCAATAATATTACGAATTAAATTGACTAGCAATTTAACAATTTGATGCTTTTTCGCATTTTAGAGCGATCTTAATAATACTAAGTGACATATTAAAATCTGTAATTAATTCTTATTGCGAAAAATATGACTTCGGCTGGGAATCGAATCTGAATCTTTTACATTCCGTGCAAGCGTCCTAAAAGTCTTTAAACTATCAAGACTTTAATAATATTCTTCGTAATAATTAGCATTTGAATAATTAACATATACTATATACTTTTTGTATAAATATTGTAAAAGTGAGAAATAATGATCGAAGAATGTCATGGTTACTTCCTTACTAACAAAGACTTTTTCTCTTTGCTACACGTAGCATTTGCAGTTATAAGTTAAAACTCACCGAGTGTATATAAAATGAAAAATCCACATTACAGTTAATATAAGCATTGCAAAGAGAGAAAGAGAGAGAGAGAGAGAGAGAGAGAGAGAGAGAGAGAGAGAGAGAGAGAGAGAGAGAGAG